CAGTGGACCCCCATTTCCTGGGAAGATGCCTTGACTCAGGCTGCCTGTCTCGGAACCTTTGCAGACCCTTTCCCCTCCGGGGACTTGCTTTGACCCTCTGTGACGCCGAAAGGTGGGGCTCACAGTGGAACTTCCAGAGACCCAGAACAGCAGAAGATGGTTGGGGGACCCAGGACCTCCACCTCCTCCTCCTCCTCCTCCTCCTCCTCCTCCTCCTCCTCCTCCTCCTCCTCCTCCTCTTTATTGATATTAGGAATTGAACCCAGGGGTGATGAACCCCTGACCCCCATCCCCAGCCCTTTTTATAGTTTATTTAGAGACAGGGTCTCACTTAGGGCCTTGCTAAGTTTCTGAGGCTGGCCTCCACTTTCAATCCTCCTGCCTCAGCCTCCCAAGGTGCTGGAACCTCTTAACCATTTTTAAAGTTGGGTTTGGTTGGGTGACACTGGGGATGGAACCCAGGGCCTCAGGCCTGCTAGGCTACATCCCCAGCCCGCACCCCGTCTTAGCCGTTTGTAGGTGCACAGGTCAACGGTGGTTTTTAGAGGCTCGTGTTGGGCCAACAAACTCGGACCTTTTTTATCTTGTAGAATTGAAACTGTGCACCCATTAAAGAAGTCCGGTTGTCCCTCTCTCAACCCTTCATGCCTTTCCACTTTCTCTCCCTGTGAATCTGACTACTCAAGATATTTCCTGTAAGTGGGATCATGGTTGTGTTGCTACACTCACACCCGTGTCCAAATAATCCTTTTTTCTTCTTTTTTGAGTCCCAGGGATTGAACCAGGGGTTCAATTAACCCCTGAGCCCCATCCTCAGTCCTTTTTATATTTTATTTAGAGACAGAGTCTGACGGAGTTGCTTAGGACCTCATTAAGTTGCTGAGGCTGGTCTCCAACTTGCAATCCTCCTGCCTCAGCCTCCTGAGCCACTGGGATGACAGGTATGAGCTACTGCACCCAGTATAGTCTGTTTTATCATAGTGGCCATCCTCATGGATAAACGTAGACTTTTTGTGCATGTGTGTGTTTTGTTTTATATTTATTTATTGGACACAATACCTTTATTTTATTTATTTATTCTTATGTGGGACTGAGGATTGAACCCAGGGCCTCACACATGCCAGACAAGAGCTCTAAGGCTGAGCCACAACCTAGCCCATGAGGTAGAATTAATAAAAATTCTATTTAAGAAGAGAAATTCCACACACACACACACACACAAAAAAAAAAAAAAATAAATAAATAACGATTTCCACTTTTAAAAGTTCTGGGGCCAGACATAGTGGAGGCTGAGGCAGGAGGACTGCAAGTTGGAGGCCAGCCTCAGTAACTTAGCAAGATCCCGTCTCAAAATAAAAAATAAAAAAGTGGCATGGAGACGAGGCTCCTGGGTTTCATCTTCAGAAGAACAAAGAATCTGGGGACACTTCTTGGCCACCCTCGCCCTGCAGGGCCACTTCCAGGAGGGCCACTCCCTGGACGGTGGCTACTCCCATCTCTTGAGCAACACAGACACTTTCAGGAGGCGCTTCTGACAAGGTCCTGTCCACTTTGCTGATTGGACATCGGCAAGAGCTGAGAGTCCCTGTCCCTTTTCTGCTGGCCGGGGCTGGTCCCTCTTGGCCACTTCTGTTGTGGGGCTCCGGACTCGCCTCGTGGCCGGCGGACTACACTTCCCAGAATTCTCCTGCCCACCTCCGGAGGTGGGCGGGGCCTCAGGTGCCTCCTGGGCTGCAGCCCGGGCGCTGGGCCTCCCATCACCTGCCTCCCCAGGGTCCTCGGTGAGGATGGGCCTCTGCTGCTGCTTCAGCAGGCTGCCCTGGTGGCCCAGGTCAAGGGCACAGAGTGGACACAGGGTTCTGCCTGTGTCCCTGGGGCGCCTGCCCGCCCTGGACTGACTCTAAGACCTCCATCCATCATGGAGACTCAGCCTCGCAGGAGAAGCTGTAGAGGCTCTCAGTCCTCTGACAAATGGAACCCGGGGTCGCTCAACCCCCGAGCCCTGTCCCCAGGCCTTTTTAGCTTTTATATAGAGACAGGGTCTCGCTGAGTTGCTGAGGGCCTCGCTAAGTTTTTGAGGTCGGCCTCCAACTTGTGATCCTCCTGAGCCACTGAAATGACTGGCCTGCGTCACCATGCCTGGCAGTGAGAGGGGTCTTACCAGCACAGCCAGGCCCAGACCCAAGCCTCGACAGTCAGTCAGAGCCAGCTGAAGGGTCTGGTGAGGAACCCAGGAGACGAGGGGAGGGGTGGGTAGAGAAGGTTCTAGAAGAATGGTTTTGGTGGCAGAAAAATTTTGAAGGGATGCAAAGTCCAGGAAGTGAGTGCAGGGAGGAAGGTGAGTCCAAGGGGTCCGAGACCAGGGTGCAAGGGACAGAAACCCAATTCAAACCAGCTTAGGCAAAAAGCAGTGAGTCAGAGGTGTGTCTGAGCTTCAGGCACGGCTGGATCCAGCAACTCCATTAATGTCTTCATTACTGGCTCCAATTTTTCTCCTTTTTCAGGTGATGATCAAAGATGGTCACTTGCTACTCTGGTCCCACGTCCCTATTATTTAGTAAGGCCAGGTGGCGATTATCACCTGTTTTGCAGTACTTTCAGGAAAAGTCTCAGGACTGGCTATCATGGAACCTACTGAGGTCAAGAACCCAGTTCTGACCCAATCTCTGTGGCTAGGTGAACAACGGACTCGATACACACTGGCCAGGTCCTGCGTCACATGACCGCTGGTACTGGAATGCAAGGTAAGCTAGATCCCCAAAGGAAAATTACAGAGCTACCCTCAGAAGAGTGGGAGACCCACCCCCGAGGGCGGACCACCGGGTGCTCGAGTGCTCTTGGAGGGTCCAGGCCTTGGGATGGAGAAGACAGCAAGTCGGGGGGCCACGTCTTCAGGGAATGGGGAGAGGTGAGCCCCGAGGCTGGGAGCAGACTGGGAAGGGCTGGCGACATGAACTGCATAGGGCAGATTTAAGGAAGAAATATGGAAGGACCATAAAGTCCTAAGGACAACCTGAGGTGCACTTTGGAGCTCATGATATGTCTTCAGAGGATAGATGGTGTTTTCAGGTTTCCGCCACTGTGACAAAATACTTGAGAAAATCAGCTTTAAAGAGAGAAAAGGTTCATTTTGGCCAGCAGTTTCAGTTCATGGTGTCTTGGCCCCGTGGAAAGGCAGAACATCATGGTGGGATGAAGCTGCTCACCTCATGGCACTGTGGAAGCAGAGAGGGAGGGAGGAAGAGGCTGGAGCCCAAAGACCCCCTTCAAAGATACGCCCCCAGTGACCTAACTTCCTCCCACGGGTTCCACGTCCAGAAGTCCCCACCACCTCTCCTAGCACCATGAGCTGGGGGCCGAGCCTTCACCACATGAGTCTTGGGGGGACAGTTAAGGTCCAAAGTGCAGCCGATGGTCTGCAGGATGTGGGGTGGGGGGCCACAGAGACCTTCTGGACCCTCTTGGAACCTCAAAGAAATCATCAGGGAAACAGAGTCCCAGGCCTGACCCCCCAAATCCAGACTCGGACAACTGGGGGTTGAAAGTGGCATTAGGCACTAGACCAAGCCAGACTCCAGGGTTTGTGGCTCGAGGGTCCCCTCCCAGGGTCACACTTGGCTGGTCCGTAGCACCACCCCTGGAATCCTGGGTAGGTCTCCTGCCTGCTAGCAGCTGGTGGCACATCGGCTGGCCCCACAGGTGGCAAGGGACAGGACCTGGTCTGGCACAGTCCCCCCAGGTCAGAACTGTAAGTAAACGCGGCTCTTCCTGGGAGGGTGGGGGGAGACCTTCTCAAACCTGGGCCTTTTGGGGTGAAGTCCTTCAACCTGGCCTGAAGGGACTCCTTCTCAAACCTGGACCTGGCGGGAGACTCGCTTCTCAAACCTGGGCCTTGGGGGGGGGGGGTGTCTTCCTCAAACCTAGGCCTGGTGGGGGGGGGTCCTTCTCAAACCTGGGCCTTGGGTGGGGTCTTTCTCAAACTTAGGCCTTGGGGGGTTCTCCTTCTCAAACCTGGGCCTGGGGGGGTCTCTCTCAAACCTAGGTCTTGGGGGGGTCTCTCTCAAATCTGGGCCTTGGGGGGGTCTCCTTCTGAAACCTGGGCCTTGGGGGGGGGTCTCTCTCCAACTTAGGCCTGGGGGGGGACTTCTCTTTCTCAAACCTACATCTTGGGGGGGTCTCCTTCTCAAACCTGGGCCTGGGGGGGACGCATTCTCAGAGCCTGGCCTGCCTACCTCCTGGACACCCAGCTGTGCCCTCACGACACTGACCCCTTGCCCCTCCCTGTGTCACCAAGGCTCATCCTGGTCCTGCCCCATCTCTGAACTTCTGCCAAGAGGGCAGCGATGTGGCTCCCCTGCTGGGCAGGACGGGCATCAGTGTCCGGGGCGACTAGACCAAGAGACTGAGAAGCCGGAGGGCAGCTCGCCAGGCTCGGGGCTCGGCCTCCGATCCCAGGGGCTGGTGGTGGCTCCCGGGGCCAGGCCAGGGGGACCAGGAGGCCACAACCTCCCCAGGGCTCCTGGGAGCACCTCCACAGGGTAGAAGGGCCCTTCTGCCTCCCTCGGGACACTGGCCAGGGCGCCCCTACCCCCTGGCGACCTTCCCCGGCTCCCACCGCCACCCAGAGCTCGCCTCTCGCTCATTTTCCCCATGACCCTTTGGGTCCCCTCTGCCCGCTCCAGATGGGCCACCAGGATGGGAACAGCAAGGGCCAGGCCGAGGTCCACACGGCAGGGGAGGTCCTGTTGGGGCAGGACTGTCCCCCAGGGTGCTCCCGATTCAGAACAGCAGCCCTCAAAGAAGCCGCGTGGCGCCTGCCCCCCGGGCGCGCTAGAGGGCCTGAGCTAGAGGGCGTGCGCAGGGGCAGCCTCCGTGGCCTAGGAGGGCTCCAGGCGGATCTCACAGCCTTCGCAGAGGCCGCTCCTGCTCCCTCCAGGCCCCCGGGGTGTCCCTCCCTCCTACCCGGCTTCCCTGCCCGCCCCGGAAGAAGGCGACGTGGGTGCAAACGTCAACAATCTTTTATTGTGGCCTCCCAGAGGCCCGCGGGGGGAGGGGAGCGCCGCGCCGTCGGGCGCGCGACTCTCGCGAGACCGGAGGCGGCGAGAGAAGAGGGAGTAAGGCGGGCCGCCGCCGCCGCCAGCCGGCCCACCGCGGCCCCGCCCATTGGTGCCCGGATGGGGGAGGCGGTAACCATAGCGACGGCCGTTGCCAAGGGCGAGAGCCAATCAGGGCGTCGCCGGGGCCGTTTCAAAAATCTCCAGCGAACAGCCGCCACCGCGGCGCGTGGGGGGAGGGGAGGGGAAGCCGCGGCCCCGCGAGGGACGGTTTCCCCAGGATGTCGGACGCGCGCGCGCGGGCCCGGGGCGCTCACTTGCGCCCCTTGGGCACCTTGGGGACGCTGGGCTTGGCCGCCTTCTTCACCTTCTTGCTCCCGGCCGCCGCCGCCGCCGCTTTCTTGGCCTTGCTGCCGCCACCGCCGCCGCCGCCGCCGCTGCCCTGGTCCTTGGCGGCGGCGGCAGCGGCCTTGGCGGGCGCGCGCTTGTCGGCCGCGGGTCGGGGGTCCGCGCGGCGCGGCGCCGGCTTCTTGGACTTGTGCGCGGCGGGCGCGGGCACGGGCGCGGGGGCGCGCCGCTCGGCGGCCTCCAGCTTCTTGCGGTTGAGCTTGAAGGAGCCGTTGGCGCCCGTGCCCTTGACCTGCAGCAGCGTGTCGTTCTGCACCAGCGCGCGCACCGAGTACTTGAGGTAGGTGCGCCCGTTCTGCTGGTCGAACCACGCCACCTTCCTGGCCTCCGCGTAGATGCGCGCCAGCGACGAGCCCCCGCGCTCGCCCAGCCTGCGGATCGTCTCCACCACCAGCTGGCTGTACTTGCCCGGCTGGTTCTTCTTGCGGCTGCTCTTGCGCTTCGGGGCGGCCGCGGGCCTGGTCGCCGCCCCGCCGCCGCCGCCGCCACGCGCGCGCGCCGCCCTCTTGGCCCTCTCGGCGCCCGTGGGCGGCAGGGCCTCCTCCAGCTCCACCGACATGGTGGCCAACGGGTTGGTGGCGGGCGGCGCGCGGAAGCCGGGGGGCCGCGCCGGGAAGAGGAAGGCGAGGGGCCGCGGGGGGCTCGGGGCGCGCGGCGGCTCCAGGCGGGAGCGGCCGCGGCCGGGCCTGGGGCCGGGCGGCAGGGCTGGGGACGGGCGGGCCGAGCGCGATCGGGGAGCCGGGGCGAGGGTCCCGGGCAGCTCGGAGGCTCGGGGAGGGTTCGGGGAAGGTTCGGGGAGGGCTCGGGGGAGCTCGGGTTCGACGCGCGCCGCTGCTGCCGCCGCCGCCGCCGCTGCTCCGAGGCCGCCGCGCCGTCCGGGCGTGCGCGCTGCGCTCTGGCGGGGAGCGCGCTTGGCGCCGCTTTTATAGCTCGGCGGCGGACCGCGTTGAGAACAACAACAGCCTGGTCCGGGGCCAGCGCCGACTTGTGCTTCTTGGAGTCCCTTTCCCGGCCGCTGGCTGCCCGCACGGTGTCCCTACCGCGCCTCCGCGACCGCAGCGATGCGCCCCGGACTCGGTCCGAGCTCCCGGCACCGCGCAGAGGCGGCCTGCGCTCCGGATGCGCTCGGCAGAGGGGCCCGGAGAGGTGCACCCCAGGCTGCGGGAGCGCTCGAGAAGGGGGGCGCCCCGTTTGGGAGCGGATAGCGGGGATCCCGGGGGTGGCCCCGCGTCCCGGAGCTCTGCAGATGACGCCCAAGAGGGCGCCACGCGCCACCGAGCCCTGGCCGGGCCCGGGCGCCCCGAGATCGGGCCACAGGACGCGCTTTCGTTTGTCCCAACTAACACAGGGCACGCCCTCCCGCGGCCGGCCCGGGCAGCGCGAGGGGGCGCGACTTCTCCGAGGGGGGTCTCCTCCTGATCCAAAGGGAACGCGCGCCAGGCTCTCTCCTGCGCGCGCCTGGGGTCTTGTGCCTGGGGACCCGGGGGCGGGGATCACCCCAGGACCTTCTGCGGGGACTCTGGCCTCCCTGATTCTCCAAAGTGCCCCATTTGGGGATGCATGAGGAAGGGGACATAGGTTCTCCCCAGAGTCCAATGGGGACTCCAGGGTGGGGTGGGCGAGTGTCAGGCGGGGGGTCCCCAAAAGAGCGTCCCCTAGACATGGGCGGACATAGGGGGTGGTCCAGGATTGCTGACCACGCCCCTCCCGCCTCTCGTCTGGGGAAGGAGATTTTGGCGACAACACGTGGCAGGTCCTGCAGCGGCGTCTCTAGGGGGTCCACCCTTCCTGGGCCTCAGATGGGTCCTCTAGGAGGTGGGGACGGGGCTGGCGCAATTCTGGAGGCCCTGAGCTCGGTGGACTCCCAGTGTTGGGGTGCCCAGGTGGCACGCAGAACAGTTTTCCTTGAAGCTGGGGAGCTGTCACTTGGGGAACCCAAGATCATGGGGGACATTGTGGGGGAGGAAGGTGGAGTTGTCTTTCCAGGTAAATGAAATCCGCTCCACCCAGACCCAAGCGCAAGGTCTTGGCCGTGGCCGAAGGGCAGACAGTCAGCAATCTCTTGAGACCCCGGCATGCCCAAACCATGGAGGGGACAGGTGGGGACAGTCAGGCTGCTACCATGTTGGGATTCCCAGCGAGAGACACAAGCTAGAGACCACTGAGGGCCCCCCAAAGGGTGTGGGTGGGCATCTTTGGGGTTTTGAGCTACAGTCGTCCTCCCCAGGAGATGTCTTCTCCCCCCTCCTGAGTGCCCCACTGTCCCAGGCCCCTGTTCTGTCCCCTAGAGATGAGGAAATTGAGGCCTAGTGGGGAAGGTGACATTAAGTGTGGGATTTTGGGGAAGCCAGGGACATGCGTCCCCAGCACTATGAATACAGAAGACAGGTGACAGCCCAGAACCCTGGAAACGAAGCCAACCCCCTCACCCAGGAAGAAGGGACAAGGACCACCCGGATTTCCTAACAGAAAGGGAAGTGGTTTCCGAAAAGTCCCCCTGGGCTGAGCCCTTGTGACACCAGCCAGCAGAAAGTGTCTTATGGGGACTTTGCCCTTGAACCTGGATTCAGGTCCACCCAGGCCGTGGTCCTGGCCCCGGGTGCCTAGAAGTTTCCATACATGAATGAAAGAGAGGCAGAAAAGATGGGGTCCCTCCCGCCCCCTGGGGGACAGTTATTTTTTGGGGAACAGGTGTCATCCAAGACTGAGCAGAGGTGTCCCCTCTGGGGAGGTGGTTAAGTGGCAGCCACACCTGCAGTGGACCAGGGTGCAGAGAGATGGAACTGGAACGATCGGCAGAGAGACGGCCCAGGACAGCAGGGGATGGGACCGGGCCACCAGGGGCTTGTGCTTGGGTCTCTTGAGAGGTCAAAGGGGGACTAGAGCTGGGGATCCTAGTGGAACCCAAGCCCTGGGCACCTAGGCTTGTTGTTCCTCAGGCTGAGATGTGTCCAGACACTACAGGGAGAGGAGGTCCCTGCGAAGGTGCTGGTAGGCACATTTGCAGCGGGTCTAGTGGGGACAGCCCAATTAGTGTCACTTGTGACACCACAGGCTGAGGAGGTGACTCCATTGGAGACGATCTGTCAGAAAGTAAGGAGGGAGACCAGGGGTGAGTGGGGTCATGGAAGCTAAGGAGGAAAGAGTTTCAAGAAAGAAGGGTCCACCTGACCCCAGTCCAGTCCCCAGGCTGGGTGGGCCAGTGGTCAGCGCACACGGCCACCAAGACCGTCACCGCCCTGAGCCCCTGTGTCCAGACTCTTCATTGGTACTTTACGAGACCTGTGGGAAACATCCGGGTATTTTCTTTTTTCAGTAGGACCTGTCCCCTCGGGTACCCTGAACCCCCAGATAAAGTAGCTCTTCTAACCTCTTCTCAAAGTTATTTTTCAGAAACAATGTCCCCTCTACAAGCCACCCAGGGAAGCAGGACCAGTGGCCCAGAGGAGACCCTGACTTCATGAGAAGGCCCAGGTCTGTCCCCGGGGATGGCCACAGTGGGCCTCCTTCATCTCCATCAGGAGGGGCCTCTTGGGGACCCTCCCTGAGCCACAACGTGGTGATGTCAACCTCCCCCAGCCCCAAAGTAAAGTATTCGGGGTGTCGTGGCTTTTCGGAGGTGACTCCTTGTGATCTCATCTGCTACAAATAAACTCTGTGGCGTCACCGTGGTTCTTGGTGGCCTGTATTCTTGGTCTTTGGTGGCCACCAGGTGGGACACTGTTCGAGGAGACCTTTTTCTGGGGACGGACAACCGTGACTGTGAGGGTAACCCCACCCGGGACAGAGTCGAGGGGCCCAGACTTCTTGGAGGCCGTGGGTGGTGTGGGGCCCGCCTCTGCTATCTTGGGGTGTCACAGCCTGGCGTCTGGGGGTCCCCGTGACTCGGCTGTGGAAGCCAAGCGATTTCCCCTCCCAGCACAGCAAGGGCCACCAAACCTGGGGACCAGACTTCTGGTGTCTGTTGTGGTGGGGAACTGAGGCCTGAGTTCGAGGCTGTGCCCAGGGAGGCAGGGAGGCCAGAGCTTGGGCTGGGCTCCTGCCAATCCTGGCATCCCCTCCCGGGTCACTCTGCCAGGTGACCCAAAGTGAGCAGGGCCCCAAGGGGTCAAGAGAAATGGCAGAGCAGGTCCTGACTGTGGGCCCTGGGTCCCCACCATGGGGACTCTGGGTGCCCAATTAATTAGGGGGCTCCTGGCTGGGTCCTCGGCCTCCTCTGTCTCTGGCGGAGCTCAAGTGGGGGACATGATCAGCTAATGACCCCTCCCCTGTCCAGTCCCCTCCTGCCAGGGCCCTGGATGCCCCCAGGCTGCACCCTGGTCTCTGTCCTCTGTCCGTGGATTCCTGTCACATCCCTCCCGAATGTCACCCTCTGCTCTCTGCCCGAGTGTCCTCGAGCGCAGCTTCCAACACAGAAGTCTGTCCCTGGGGAGTCCAGAGGGGTTCCCAAAGAGGGGGTCCTCAACTCGGGGTGACCGGGTCCTTAACACCATAGAAAAGGTCTTCTAGAAGGTTCCAAGGCTGAGGCAGGGACATTTGGGAAATCAAGGGAGCTTGTGGGCCATCTTGAGGGGGACATCTGCTTTTGGGGTCCCGGGCTCTTCTTTTAAAGGAAGCATAGGCCTGTGGCGGGGCTGAGGTGACCGTGACATCCCCTCTCTGGGTGGCTCAGTGGTCCTGCTACAGAGAAAGGCCACTTGTCACAGGGCCCAAGGGACCACGGATGTCCTGCCAGAGAGACTCCGGACCTGTCGCTCAGGGTAGCAGGCCTCAGTTCATGGAAGGGACAGGAAAAAGGGACAGGGGACACTCTCTAGGGACCATCTGCCGCTGCCGCACTCCAGTTTTATTGGGGAGGGGGGTCCCAGAGAAGTTTCTAGAAGGTCCCGCCCAGGTCCACCTCTTGACTTTTGACTGACAGCGGGGTGACATCAGACTTTCTAGTCCCCACCGAACATGAAAACTCTGGGTCCCCTGGGCCCAGGGGTCCAGGTGGCCCCTCGTTCTGGGCATTTTTCTGAGGAGTGACTCCTATTGACTCCAAGGCCCGGTGACAGGGACATGTCACTGTGTGGAGCTGGGGAATCCAACCCAGGGCCTCAAGCATTCGGGCCAGGCCTCCCCTCAGCCCCACGCCCAGCCTGGACACTGCTTTTTGGAAAGAGAAGATTCTAGAACATCAGCCCTGGGCGTGGGGACCCAGGGAGAGGGGAGGGGACGTCACTTCTGGCCGGACAGTGGATTTATGACCGACCCGCGGGTCCTGGGTCAGCTTCCTCTCAGGGTCTTGATGTTCTGGTTACCAAGGGCCACTGGGGTCTGTGACCAGGGTTTGGTGATAAAAGGAGGGTCCCAGGACACCTCTGGGCTGTGACGGATCTTGAAACAGTCATTTTTGTCTTTAGTTCTTGAAACAGTCATTTTTTTCTTAAGGCAATGTCATTTCCTTGTGGCTGGTGGAGAAAGGTTTGGACCTACGGGCCTCCGTTTGTATATTCCAGGTGCTTCTTGTCACACTCCCCTCCCTGGTCCTCTCCCTGCCACCTAAATATCAGGGAGAGGTTGTGTCCATTATCTGATCAATAGGGATGTCCTGACCTTAGTAGTGTCTCATTTAAATTCAGTTTTTTGGTTTTTGATCTTTATTTTTATTTTTTTGCTTTTTGGTCCACAGCTGTACCAGCCA